GAGAGAGAGAGAGAGAGAGAGAGAGAGAGAGAGAGAGAATAGTTGCCTGTGCATGTGTTTGTGGAAGCCAGACGTTGATTGTAGGTTCCTTCCTCTATTTCTTGCCATCTTATTTTTCTTTTTATATTTTTTATTTAGTATGTGTGAGTGTGTGTGTATGTGTATGTGCGAATGTGTGTTGGGGTGGTGCTCATGCTACAGCATGTGTGTGGAGGTCAGAAGACAACTTTGGGGAGTTGGTTTTCTCCTCCAACAATTTGGGCTCTGGAGATTGAACTCAGGCCATCAGTCTTCGTGGCAAGAACCTTTACCCATCTTACTGGCCCTCACTGTCTTATTTTTTGACATAGGGTCTCTCAATGAACCTGTATTTCTGATTTATTGGTCAGTAAACCCCTGGAATCTACTTGCTTTGCCTCCTACAGCCATGTAGTTATAGGTATGTGCCACCACATTTTGCTTTTTTTTTAAAAAACTAGGGTGCTGAGTAGCTGTGAATTCAGGTCCTCATGCTTGTACCTTAGTCTTGGATAGATCCTCCTCCCCAAATTCTTGTTTTATTTTTGAGAAAGGGTCTCCTGTAACCCAGGAGGTTACATAACCAGGCAACTACGTAAGTGAGTTCCAGAGTAGTCAAGGCTGTCCTTGAGCCCTTGCTCTTCTTGCCACTCAGCACTCAAGGACTGGGATGACAAGAGTACACCACACACCCACTCAGCTCACTAATTTTATCTTAAACAATTCTGTATATGACAGATGTCACAACCACAACAGATTTTCAACTTTATTTCCACAGTTTGTACTGTAATTTGACACTTAAAAAGTTCCCCATTGGTGCGGGACAATTGTATTCTGTCAATCATGTTTTAAATAAATGCTGATTGACTAGTAGCCAGGCAGGAAGTATAGGTGGGACAACCAGACAGGAAGTAGAGGCAGGTCAATGAGAACAGGAGAATTCTGTGAAGGAGGAAGCCCATTCCTCCCCAGTCCTGTCCAGACACTGAAGAAGCAAGATGTGACCTACCCCACTGAAAAAGGTATCGAGCCATGTGGCTAACATAAGTAAGAATAATGGGACAATATAAGTTATAAGAGTTAATGGGAAGCCTGAGCTAATGGGGCAATCAGTTTATAACTTATGGAGACCTCTGTGTGATTTTCTTTAGAGCTAAATGGCTGCAGGAGCCAGGCAGGGCAGAAACCCCAACAAGTAGGCCCTCATGTTATACTGGGTATGGTAGTTGGTTCATGCTGGCAATTCCATCACTTGGGAAACAGAAGTAGGAAGATCAGGGGTTCTAGGAGACTCATTTTTACAAGCAGCTTTCGGCTCCATTTTGAGGGAGAAGATGACTGCAGACCTTGAGTAGACCCAGAAACTGCACTGCCTGTGAGGATCCACATGGTGAACAGAGACTGTAGAGTGGGTGCGTTAAAATCATAGCAGAGAAACCAGGCCCAAAAATTTATCAGCCCCTCTAGACTGAGGAAATGGTGTAACTTCACATGACAAGGCATATTTGACTTGACTACCCATCTACCTGTTTGCCCATTAGGACCTGCCCCCAAAGCTGCCATATGCCCTGCTCACAGATTCCAATGCAGCCTTTCACCTTGTGTTCAACTTTTCACCTTGATGCTCAACTCTGCAGCCTCAACCTCAAACCCTAACCCCAGCAACTCCAGCATCAGCCCCTCCTGACTGGTATGGTTTGCTATCTTAACAGTAAAGGCTCTCAGTCAATTTCTGAAACATTTGATACTCTGCTGCAGTCTTTTAAACTTGTGTTTATTGTGTAAATCACATATATGCATACCGATATGTGATGTACGGTATGAAAATTAATCATCGTAATTAAGATCAAAATGAAAGGCTCTGCATTCCTTTTCCAAGAGAGATGGGATTATATCACAATTAGCTATTATTGAAATCATTAAGCCATGTGAATTTCTAGTTATTCAATCAATTCTGACATTTTGGAAAGACACAAATGTGCTTACTTTGTTTTAACCGTCAACTTGACACAGCCGTCGTATGAAAGGAAAAGCTAGATCAGAGTGGCCTGTGATCATAGCTGCCTTGATTGTTAATTGTAAAGGCCCAGCCCACTGTGGGCAGCAGCCCCATCCCTGGCTCAGTGGTCCTGGACTATATAAGATAGTGGGGGAGCTAATGACGGAAGCAGATGCGGAGATCAACAGCCAAGCACAGGCTGAGCTCCAGGAGTTCTGCTGAAGAGAGGGAGGAGGGATTATAACGAGCAAGGGGGCTCAAGATCATGGCAGGGAAACCCACAGAAACAGCTGACCTGAGTTGGGAGAGCTCACAGCCTCGGGAGCGACAGCTGGGGAGCCTGCATGGGACCAAACTAGGCCCTCTGCATGTGGGTGACAGTTGTGTGGCTTGGTCTGTTTGTGGGGCTCCTGGCAGTGGGACCAGGACTTACCCCTGGGGCATGAACTGTGTTTTGGGAGCTCATTCCCTATGGAGGGATACCTTGTTCAACTTTCATTCAGAGGGGAGGGGCTTGGTCCTGCCTCAACTTGATGTGCCAGGCTTTGTTGACTTCCCATGGGAGACTTACCCTCTCTGAGGAGTGGATGGGGTGAGGTGGGGGGAGGTGCCGAGGAACAGGAGGAGAGGAGGGAGAGGGAACTGTCGTTGGTAAAATGAATAAAAAAAACTTTAAATAAAATAATAAAAGATAGTGAGCTAAGCCTGATCCTGCGAGGAAACGAGTAATCAGTGATTGCTTCAACTTCCTACTTACATTCCTGCATTAACTTCCCTCAATCCGGGTGTGTAAATAAAATAACCCCTTTCATCACCCAAGTTGCTTTTGGTCAAGATATTTGTCACAGGGACATATTGAAACTAGAACAGTTTGTCTATGTTTCTGACATAGGGCCTTTACAAAAACAATAGTTACAATGGAGAAAGATGTCAACCAACAGGAAAGAAAAAAAAAAAAGAAACAAAAAAACTGGGCATGGTGACCTGTCCCTGTAATTCCAGCACTCAGAAGGCAGAAGGAAGAGGATCTCTCCATGAATTCCAGGCCAGCTTGGTGCACATAGTGAGTCCAAGGCTAGCCAGGGCAGCATAGTGAGACCTTGTCTCTGGGCACCATTAAAAGGAAAACTGGTCCTGTTGGTACATGCCAGTAATCCCCAACCTCAAACGGTAGAGGCAGGAGGATCAGGAGTTGGAGGCCATCCTTGGTTGCACAGCAAGTTTGAAGCACACTTCAGATACATGAGACCTGTCTCAATAATCAGAGAACACGAACACAGTAGTCAAAATTATGAATTCTAATATTTACATATAGGGAGGGGTGACAGAGGGAGAGGAAAATAAGAGTGTGGGGGGGGATAAGTTCAATGTAAATATATTTGTATTAAAAATAGTTGAAATGGCTATGATAGATATGCTTAGCACAGCTTAAAAATTAATACCATGTGCAAAAATATCACTTTACTAACCATATGCTTGAAATGAGCGAATTTTATGGTATGTGAGCAACAGCTCAATGAATCTGTTATGCCCAAATCCGTGAAATTCCCCAAAAGCCAACAAGGAGACTGAGTCCTATATGTAAAAGCAAAGAGCCTTTATTTTAAGCGAGTTTGCAAACTCAGTCTCCCAGCATGTCCAATGTATTGGAATAAATGGAGAGCCCCGAGCTCAGTTAGAATTGAGTTTTTATAGTAGTAAAGGTGGGGGTGAGGGGTTTCTGAGGTTTAGGACCCCTGATTGGCTGACATTTGTCTAGGGGTGATCTGGTGAGTGTGTGCTGGCAGGTGGTCCTATCCACAGCAGTTGGAACAGTAGGCATTTCCTTTGGGTGGTCTGTTTTTGGGTGGTGCCTGGGTAACTCAGTTTGTGGTTCTTCCAGCAACCAGGTATTGCTTCAGGGTAAACTACTGAGACTCGGGCCTCCATTTAAATTTATCGATGTCCGAGGCCTTCTATGGCAGGTGATAACGGTTAGAAGCAAAGAACTTCATTTAGGTGACCTGTCCATACTTAGCTTATCATGGCTGGCTCCCACAAAAATCTATATTTCTAACCATGACTTGTAAACTTCGAGAAGATGTCATTTATTGTACACAAACTGGACTTCAATCAAGCCAATTTACAAAAAGACACATAAGGGTGATCTTCATGTCCCAGCAGCTCTGAGGTGGAACTGTTCTTCCACCAAGAAAGAGGAGAGGGAACAGGCCGAGATGGTCACAATCTTTTTGTTTGTTTGTTTGTTTTTTTGAGACAGAGTTTCTCTGTTGCTCTGGCTGTCCTGGAACTAGCTTTTGTAGACCAGGCTGGCCTCGAACTCACAGAGATCCACTTGCCTGAGATGATCACAATCTTCTCAGCTAACAAGGAGCTGTGCAGGAAGAAGAAAGTGGTTAGCCACCCTGGATCCCATGTACTGTCTCCCTCCCTACCAGCAGTGCCATTGTGGCACACATTAACCCCACAGCCAGGAGCACAGCTCAGGGGTAAATAAATATTGGAGACTTGCTCTGCCACATCTTAATGCAGCGTGTGTGCTCACTGGATGGAGTATTTACCAGCACCAACTTTCTGCTTCTGCAGCTAAACTCAGCCAACCTCAGCCTATTGGTATTCCTGTCACACTGAAGCCGGATTGCCTTGGCAGACAATCGGCTGAATGTGTTTTCTCTGATTTTTTTCCTGAGTCCCTTTTATCATGGGTAGTTTCAGAAACAATGGGAAGGTAGGAAAAAAGGTTGAGTCAGAAGGCGGGGGTTGGGAGGCCAGCTTGCAAGAGATCTGTGAGTACCTCCATGATTATCAGTGCCTTATTTAATGACTTACTGGAGGCTATCAGACAGTATTTTGTAATAACAAGACAGAACCATAGCAACCAGACTACAAAGAGAAGCCCAGGCTTCTGGAAAGGACTTGGAGTCTCTGAAGAGCTGTTAGCATTTTGCAGCTTCTAATTCTTTTTGTTTTTGTTTCTTTTCAGTAGCCACTGGAGATGCACTGGGTGTTTTCTTTTACACACCCCGAAATGATGATTTGCTGCAGGGGGAAAGAAAACGAAAACAAACTGGCTTCAGATTGGAATCCTTTAGTTGACAGACATTTTAAATAGAAATCTTTTTTTTTTCACTCATATTTTTTTGGGCTGGTTCAATACATAGAGTTTGGGCCTACCTTGAGGAAGCACTGTGTTCTAGTCCTAGCATCTCATATACAGTGATTTCAGCACTCAGGAGATGAAGACAGGAAGATCAGAAATTCAAGTTCCGTTTCCACTACACAGCAAGTTTGAGGCCAGCCTGTGCTACATGAGACCCTGTCTCAAATCAAACAAGAAACAAAACAAAATCTTTAAAAATATATTTATATAGTTACTGGATAAGAGTTGATTTTTTTATATTAACAATAATCTTTTCATCCTTCTGAAAAAAAATAAAAAAAAATAACCCTTAGCTGTCCCTACAGCTTCTTCTCAGCCTGGGCCTCTCATGTCAACAAGGACTCCTCCACGACCTGTCTACCCACCTGTTTCCCTGGGCCTGGACCTGAGCCTGAGCCCACCATTTTCTCATTTTAGACCTAGTACAGCCTTTGACAAGACCAGAAGTCGTTATTAACTGTCTATATAAAGGCCAGTTGAGGTTACATGGTGAGTTTCAGACCAGCCTGGACTACAAGGTAAGATCCTGTCTCAAACACCTGCAGTAAGAACAAAGCGAATGGCCCCCAAAAGAACTGAAAGCCGTACTTGTACACGAGGGCTCACAGAAACAGTGTTCATAATAGGCAAGTGGAGGAGACCTCAATGCCCATCAGTGCATAAACAAAACAGAGCACCGCCAGGAAATGGAAGGCTGCTTGGTCACAAAAGGCGATGCAACACCAAGAAGTATTTGAAGTGATGCTCTTATTTGATCATTACACATCATATATGTGTACCAGGATATCACACTGTATACCAAACATATACAATTATCGTGTGTCAAATTACAAACAAATTAAAGGACCTTGGGGATGGATAGTTCGGTTGGAAAAGTGCTTGTTCTGCAAGCATGGTGACTTGATTCAATCTCCAAAATCTTCATTTAATAATAATAATAATAATAATAATAATAGCCAAGTGCAGGGGCACATACTTGTCCAACTTTGGGGAAGTGGAGACAGATGGCTTCCTGGGGTTCACTGGTCAGCCAGCCTAGTCTACGTGGTAAGTTCTAGGTCAGCGAGAGACACTGTCTCCTATTCCAAAAAGGTGCGTGGCACTTGATGAACTATACTTGAGGTTGTCCTCTGCCTTCCACATACACTCTGACACACGCCTGTAACCCCAGCACTTGGGAGGCAGAGGCAGGAAAATTGAGAATTTAAGGTCATCCTTGGTTTTAGAACAAGAGAGAGAGAAGTGGGGAGGAGAGAGGGAGAAAAAGGGAGAAAAGTGAACAAGGCTACTGTCCTTAGGACAGGGATAGGCAAGGAGAGGACCAGGAGTTACAGTAGGTAGGGGCAGTTAGAAAAAGATTTCTCCCTAAACCTCCGGCCTGATAGAGGACAAATATTAACAGCATGACTTGTTGCCAAAGTCCTACCTTGAGCCACTCTAAATCTCGAGGAAAAGTTAACACAGAAGGTAAGTCAGAATTTGGTTAGGAACGTCAAGGCATGATAGAGAACACTAAATATTTAGAGGAGTTTAGAAATAGCTTAGCTGTGGAGGCTCCCCACAAGGCAAGATGGAATACACTATAAAGAACATGTGAGCTCTGGGTATCGAGTCAGGGGTTTTGGCCCCCATTTGAGTGACTACATGAATGTAAACTTGGTCATGCCATGTAGCTTTCTGAGTCTTGATTTTTCTCATCTAAGTACATCCCAGAGGAATACGGTATCCCAAGTGTTTGTGGAACATTTAAAGTGTAATGACTGATTCCCTTAGGGCAAAAAGAAGGTAACTTTGAGATGAGCCCAATGTTTCTCAGACTGCCATCCCCTGAGACTTGTTACTACTCTGATGGCAGGTTCCCAGTCCTTGAGTTTCTGATCTAGGCTATTTGTTGGTTGCCAACTTGACGACATCTGGAATTCACTAAAAACCAAGCAGTTGGACACACCTGTGATAAATTTTTTTTCTGAATTAAATCATCAGTAATGGAATGGCTCACTTCTAATCTGGATCTTTAATAATAATTTAATCTGGGTCATGGATTCTGCTGGCAGCTTATATAAAGGACATGGAAGAAGGAAGCTAGCTCTCTTTGCCTGCTCATCCTCATTCTCACTGGCAAGTCCATCCCTTCACTGACATTAGAGCCTATGCCTTCAGGTTCTAGCATATACTCATGATCAGCTGAGACAGCCAGCCTGGTAGACTGAACAACTACTGGAAACAATGGAAAGTTTGGGCTTTCCATTGGCAGATATCACTTTGTTGCACTAGCTAGACCACAGGCTGTAAGCCATTCCAATACTCCTTCTATGTGTGTATGTATGTATATTATGTATGTATATATATATAATGCATACATATCCATATGTGTATATATATTCATGTATTCATTCTATCAGTTCTGTTCCTCTAGAGAACTTGACTAATACACACAATGCAAGGTACAAGAATGAAATACAGTCTAGGAAAGGTGTGAGTTGAAGAAGTCAGAGTTTTTGGCCCCTAATAGAATGACTACATGTCTATGCACACGGTCATGCCGTGTAAACTGTCTGGGTCTTGGTTTTCTTCTCTAAGTATATCTCAGAAGAATCCAGCATGCTAAATGTCTGTGAACATTTAAAGCCCAGCAATTGATTCCCTTAGGGCAAAAAGAAGGAAAATTTGAGATGAGCCTAATGTTTCTCAGACTGCTGTCCCTTGAGACTTGTTACCAAACCTTTCTGTTTAACTGTAGCTCCTCTGATACTTCTGGACCAGGGACTACCCTTTCAACTGCTGTGATAAGGATCCTGACCAAAAGCAAGTCAGGGAGGAAGTGGCTCATTTGACTTACACATTTACATCATAGCGCGTCATCAAGGTTAAGCCAGGGCAGGAGCTTCAGGCAGCGACCTGAAGACAGGAAAGGAAGCAGAGACCTTGGAGGAGTGCTGCTTGGTGACTGCTCCCCATGATTTGTTCAGCCTGCTTGCTTTCTCACAGCGCCCAGAACCACTGCCCTGGAGTAGCACCTCCAACAGTGGGCTGGGCCTCACACATCAACCGTTAGTCAAGAAAATCCCCAACAGTTTTGCCTACAGACAAATCTGATGGAGACATTTTCTCAATTCAAATTCCTTCTTACCAAGTGACTCTAGGCTGTTTAAAGTTGACCTAAAGCTAACCAGTGCTGGGACAGAGGCTGTGTCCTCAAGGTAAATGAGAGGAATAAGCAAGCAGGAAGCAGCTGTGACATAAATCCTCAGGCCTCGATGACAGTCATGGGAACCATGACACAGCGCACCTTGGACAATATCTGTTACTCACAGTACTGATTTAGTACAGAAAGGGTAAAAGGGGAGGATACAAGAGGAATGGAAAAGCAATTTCTGCCCACATATGCTCTTGAAAGGCCTCTCTGGGAATGTCACAGAGATTCCAGATAGTGTCACTGCTTGGCTGCCAAAACGTATTCCACTATTTTTTTTTCATTTTCCCCAGAATTAAGCCTAACTAGTGAGAACATTTCAAATTAAAATATCATGGCATGCATTCATAAGGACTGTAATTCACTCATGGAATCCAGCCCTAGATGTCATGTCATGGAGTACCTGGGTACTGATTGAGTAGAACAGAGAGTAAGAACTGATTCTGTTCCCTCTGCTTCTAATTTCCTTGTGCTGTGAGCACAAGGGCAGGGCTCTCCCACTGATCTCATTTAGAGAAATTCCTGCCAATTATTCTGATATTTGGCTGATTTAGATTATTTGCTCAAGCGAATAACAAGCTTTCATTTTGATTTTTGAGAAAGGATCTCATCACTTAGTCCTGACTGGTCAGGTATGCACTATGTTTTCCCAGCCTGTCAGCTTGTGGTGATCCTCCTGCCTCAGCCTCCTGAGTGCTGGAATTATATATTTGTATTTCCATGCCTGCTGTAATGGACACTTTTAATATTTTCTAAGAGTTTACTTATCTTGGAATAGCCTTCTTGTCTCTAACCTTGAAAGGGCTGAATTTCCTTTGATGTTTTCTACACAATTGCACTTCAGGGAATTCTTCTCAGCAGGTGACATTGGTTTGCAAAACTTGGCTCAAGAAGAATATAAATCATCTCCTAGCAGCACTTAGCATGATGTTGAACACCAAATGCATTTATAGTATTTTTCTTCTTATTGTACATATATCTATGATTTACATTATCTTATGGAAGACATTGTATATATCATATAATAAATATGTTTTAGAAGGAAGATCTGGGTTTGTATCTTAACTCTTACTTGGGGATCTGGGTGACCCATTCTAATTAAGTTAAGCTTTTTTATTATGGATTTTTTTATTTTACTTTTTCTTGTTGTTTGAGAATCATAAGTATCAGACTGGCCACAAACTTGTTCTGTAACCAAGGATGGCCTCGAACTCTTAATCTTCCTGCTTCTACTTCATGAGTACTAGGCTTGCAGGCTTGCACCACCAAGCATAGTTTATGTGGTGCTGGGGATTGATCCCAGGGCTTTGAGCAAGCAAGGCAAACATTCTATTAACTGAGCTACACGGCCAACCACCCACCCCTTGTTGTTTGTTCTTTTGTCTTATTCCATGTATTCCATTACTCCAGTTCCAATTTTCCTTAAGAGCTCTTCCCCCTCTTGCTCCCCTCTTAAGATCACCTTTCTAGTTTTGTGAAGTACACACAAACACACACACACTTTTGAATTTTAGTTATGCATTTGGAAGAAAGTATGAAGTATTGGTCTTTCCAAATCTGGTTCATTTTGTTTGGTGTGATGATTTCCAATTCCACCCCATTTTCCTGTAAATGACATGATTTCATTTTTCTATATGGCTAGATATAAATCCATTGTGCCTATGTACCACGCTTTCTTTATTTCTTTGTTGGACTGGGTTCTTCACTTTAGTCTTGTATTTTATCGATGCAATCTTACTGATATCAAGCTATAAGCAAAAGCCAGATTTCCTATACATTTGACTTACCCCATATTACCTACTAAGCGCCCCACTGAGCCAATAAGATAATTGAATAACTAGAAAAGATGAAGAAGCGATCATCGAGTTCGAGGAAGGTGCAAAAACGCAGTCGTTTGCTTTTCATCAATTCTGTGTTTTCTTAGCTCAATGAAAAAAGATACACTTAATGAAAGAGGATCACAGCACTGTTTATGGAAGGTAGCAGGCAGGAGACATTTCATTAAAGCCATGAAATCTGTAGCAAGCTCGGAGGCATTGGATACGTGTGCCCAAGCGCAAGCCGGGAAGGGAGGTTTGCAGCCTGACTGTCCATCTTGAAAGGCACCAAAGCACACTTGGAGGTGACTTGTTTTCTAGGCACTAACGGGTCCTCTCAGGATTGAGATGACGAATGAATCAGTCAGAACTGATCCTGATCCTTGTGTTTCCCATGGGCCTCTGCAAGGTCATTATGCGGCGACTTCTGTTAAAATGTCGCAGACGACGCCACTCCTGCCTTCTCCTGCCAGCATGTCCCATGTGAAAGTTACTAAGGAAATGCTCCCTAGTGAAATAGTAGGCATGTCTGCAACCCAGGAGATTTCAGTGGCGACGCTATGGTGTTCAGGGACAAGTCCTGCCAGGATTTCATCCACACTGTAGAGAGACAGCCTGGGAGGGGGCAAAGCATTTTATAAACAAAACTGAGTGTGCACGGTGTTCACTTACGGTGCTGGGCAGAGAGTCGGCAAAGGGTTGTGACTTGAATGGATGAATACAAGTGACAAATTTTAAAGTTCCGATCGAATGAAAAATAATTAGGTTTTACCTATATTTAGAGAGTCATTTTCAAGTCATTTTTCAGAGTCCTTGAATCAAATAGTG